GGCCTATATCTGCCTGCAGTTAAAAAGTTCTCAGAAATAATCACATTTGTTTTGCTTAACCCATTTATGTACAATTATTCTAAAAAACAAATTTAATGTCATTCAAAAAATGCCATCGGCCTGAGTAAATTTGACCATTATAGAATTGTGACTTTACAAGGGTAGTAATTTAGGAGGTGAAAATACTGTGAAATTACAAATGGCATGGAATTTGAAAGCATAACAACTGAAGGTCTATGAAACGTCAGTCAATAAAGCATTTTTTAAACAATGGCACTTACATTTTTTAACTAAAATATTAGTGCAACCATATAGCCTATGAATGAACGAAAATTCATATTTTTCAATTAAAGAAAAAATTGAGAGTTTGGGCTGCTTCTGGTGCTTGGATTTGTACTTCCCCTTACCAAAAAGTAGTATACTTAACAAAAAGCTGAAAAAAGATTATGAATTGGATTCAGAATGATAATCAAAACGTAGATAAAGTCGATCAACACCCCAAAGCTTGACAGTTATTATTACCTCTTCATTGGTTGACATTTTATTCCATAATGTTACATAGTTTTGATACTCTTTTATGTCTGATGATTGTGTTAGAATACATGTGGAAGCATCTGTTGTTTCGGTTTCTTCTTCACTTGTTTTTTGGAAATTCTGTACAGAAGATGTGTACTAGCGCCCTCTACAGTATAACAATGAAAACACGGATTCTAGGAACACAATTATAGCTAAAATATATTTCGACTTTTTCGAAGCATAAGTCAAGTATACTTAAATATCATTTTAAGTATATTTCTGAGAAGTACATAAAGCCCATTTCTGAGAAGTACATAAAAAGTAGACTAAAAGTATACTTTCCTATTTTTAGTTTAAAAGAAGTATACTAATAGCACACTTGAATAAACTTCTTTTTCGTAAGGGTCAATATAATGAGGTATAAGTTTCAGAATACGCTAGAAGTTGCATTTTTAAAATAATAGTGAAAGACCTCCCTCAGGTAGACTGAATGTTTTCCTGCCTTGCTGGATGTTGGATTCATGGTCAATAAGTTGTTTGCATTCGCCCAAACTGATTTGGCAAAATCAAAACGCGGACAGTGAGCGCGAGTCCCGCTCGCTGTGCTTCACTCCCGCTTCGGGAGCAGCCGGCAGAGGATTCCGCTTGGTCTTAAAGCCTTCCCCGAACGTTGCTGCTCAGTTGTGTATAATACGTACCTGCTCCATCTCTCTATCCACCAAGCGGCCCTTGGCCCTGACCAGGCCCTAATATGCAAAACAACCATTAATCGAGTCATTACACTTCAAACCACTAGGTGGCAGAACGTTAATTTCCTGAACGCAACTGAACTAAACACGCTACTTCCGTAACAACAATACAGCGACCTTTCAAAAGGCGCATAGTAAAGAAAATTGGTTCGCAACCCGCCATAAAACCAAAAGAAGAAGAAGAAGAACAATACAGCGCTTCCGGTCGTGCAGAGCTCGGCGTGGAACGCATGTGACTATTTCTATATCTCACTTATAATGCCAGATTTAATTATAGACTTTTTTTGAATAAACATTATTTGGTAAGTTGTGATCTATTAACTCGCGTGATGTAGTCCGTTTAATAACTACGCGCATGCCTATAAGTATCCGGTTTATCTTCATACTGCTTTTATGTTTTAATTGTATAACTTATCTTTTCTTGTGTGTGTGGATGCAGCGGTTATCGTTACAGAATGTATTTTGAAGTAGACTTAGTTGTCGTTGATTTTAACGTCGTTTTGTTTTCAGTTCGCAGATTAAAACTATTTGTGATAAATAATGGAAATTGAGGACAGAGATTTCCTCAATACACCTCCAAAGAAAACTGTGCGTTTTGGAGGCACAGTTTCCAATACATTAGCTAAACTACAAAAGGTGAGTTGGGTCAGATTGTAAGTACAGTATAAAGCTAATGAATGCCACTGCCTGTAAAACATGTCCTTACGTCTCTTATGTGACGTCTACAGGGCGACACAAGTGATTATGAATTGATAAAACATCAACTCTCAGATCCTGATATTAAGGCAAGTATTGTTTTTTTATCTTGATTTCAAGGTTCCCACACTGTGTTGTCAAGACCTGTAAAAATCATGGAACATAAAAACCTTAGATGTTATGGATACTATAAAGTGAATAAAGTCTTTCATTGGCTAGATGTTGCCGAGTTACTTTTCATTGAATTGGTCAAACCGACTCACGAATCCGTCTAAGTCAGGGCTGCCCAAACTCGGTCCTGGAGGGCCGGTGTCCCGCAGAGTTTAGCTCCAACTTGCCTCAACACACCTACCTTCAAGTTTCTAGTATGCCTAGTAAGAGCTTGATTAGCTGGTTCAGGTGTGTTTAATTGGGGTTGGAGCTAAACTCTTCAGGACACCGGCCCTCCAGGACCAAGTTTGGGCACCCCTGGTCTAAGTGATTCATTCGGTCTGAATCAAAATGATGTTTGAAAATCCTAATTCAGTACTGGGACATGATTGGTGTGGGAATCCTGCACTTTGTGTTTCAAACATGTGCAATTAGAAATGTTCTTTCTCACTTTTTTCGTATGTTATTGTAGGACGCTCAAATTATCAGCTGGTTGCAGGAATTCAGGACCTGTGTCACTCAACTTGGCAAAGATCATGAGCAATTAATATATGTTGTTTTGGTGAGTGAAACACCAGTGTGTCAAATGATAAACAAAAGCCGTCAGGTCAGTTTCGCTGTGCATTAATGAAATAAATGTTTCCCCATACAGAAGCTGCCATGGCTCGGTCGCAGTCAGGCTGTGGTGGAAGAATATCTGGCTTTTCTGAGTAACCTGGTGTCAGCCCAGACAGTTTATCTCAGAGCCTGTCTCAGAATGGTCGTCTCTAATTTTGCACCAAGTAAGATATATTATAGTATTGCTTCACTCCATTCACATTGTTCAGGTGACTTAAAATAACACTTTTTTTTTTTTCTTCCAGAAAGAATAAGAATCCAGGAAGGAAATGTGGATATTTCAGACTCTGATGACGAAGATGAAAGTTGGTGTACTTTTTGTTTTGTTTTTTAATATCAACTGCTTTTGTTTTGTAATTTAATTTGTGTTATTGACTGTTGTTTTTGTTGATTAATTATATGCACGGTCATATACCAGCTTTTATGATCTACCCTGGTGGTGGACCTTAGTCAGGATAGACTTGTTGCATAAACAAACATACATACACACTCATAAAACAGACTGTGTTTTTTATCCCTCACAGCATTGTTCATTTGGGTAAAATCCAATATGTTGTTTACCTTGACTAAAGTTTACAGACCAATATAGCCGCCAACCAGAATAACTAATGTTGTTTAGACTAATCTTATTGGCCATTTTGTTTAGATATTGTTAAATAACCATATGTTTTATCTCAGTGTTGTATACACTACCATTCACAAGTTTGGGGTTAGATTTTTTAAAAGAAATTATTCAGCAAGTACTCAATAAATGAATAGTAAAGACATTGATAATGATACAAAGGTTTTGTATTTTTAAATTAATGCTGTTCTTTTGAACATTCTATTAATCAAAAATCCTAAAAAGTGGATCATGGTTTTCACAAAAAAAACGACTGCTTTCAACATTGATAATAATAAGAAATATTTTTTCATGATCACCAGATCAGCAAATTAGAATGATTTCTGAAGGATCATGTGACACTGAAGACTGGAGTAATGGCAGCTTTGCCACCACAGAAATAAATTACATTTTAAAATTTATTAAAATAGAAAACAGTTGTTCAGAATTATAATAATATTTGACAATATTACTGTTTTAATGTTTTGTTTAAATAAATGTGGCTTCGGTGAGCATACTATATTTCTTTAAAAAAATAATTAAAATGTTACTGACACCAAACTTTTGAATGGTAGTTTATGTCTTATTTTGCTGTCATTGATTGTATATCAGCCATTAACCATTCCTGTCATCGATTAATGAAATCATATCAGTATGCCACTAATATACCTTATACCTTACACCATTATTCATTATTTTTAAATTCACACAGATCTCCCGAGGACATTTGATCAGTGTCATCAAGCCTTGCAGCTGATTGCAAGATATGTTCCATCGTAAGTGTCTTACAAAACCTCCAAAAGCATAGCGGAGTTGATCAGTTTATTGATTTAGTTTAGCATGAAGTTTAGCAGTCACTAATAAACTCTTTTCTTGTTCTTTCAGAACCAGTCGATTCCTGATGTCAATCCTTTCTGATAAGTTCCCTTTTGTGCAGAAATCCTCCAGAACACTTGTGAGTTATGTGGAGAGGTTCTCCACAGCATTTACATCCAGTACTGGAGTAACGTCATTACATGTTTGAATGTGATTGTACTGAGGCCGTGTTGCCTGTCCACACAGGAGTGTTACGTGCACAACCTGTTGAGAGTTTCCGTCTACATCCCTGACTTGAGGAGAGACATCTTAGAGCTCATCATCAGCAAGATGCTCACACTAGATGTAAGTGACTTGTGTTTAGTAACTGTACTGATATATTTGCAACTGTGCAGATGTTTGATGGCTGTTTTTGACTTTTAGGTTAGTGCACCACGGAGTGAGATTGAAGAAGTGGAAAGTGGAGCTCAGCAAGATGCTAATGGAGCATCACAGGATGACTGCCTCTTTGACATGGTGAGTCCAAAACACTTCAGAAAACAACAGAAAGCCAAACACATAGAACGCAGAACATACTCAGTGGGACAAATTTAAAGGTATAGTTCATCCATAAATGGAAAGTCATCATATACTCACCCTCATGTCGTTCCAAACATGTACAACTTGAAGTCTTTCTTCAGTGAAATCTAGACAAATGTACTGTAGTCACGCTTTTGCATGCAGTGAATGAGGACTGGATCTTTCAAGCTTCCAAAAGCATCATAAAAGTAGTTGATACAACTTATATTTACATGACAGGTTTGTATGAGGAATCAAATTAAGCCTTAATTCAGGGCTGACTTATATCGTAGTCTTTCCTTTAAAGGGGTCATATGATGTTGCTAAAAAGAACATTATGTTGTGTATTTGATGTAATGCAATGCGTTTATGCGGTTTAAGGTTAAAAAAACACATTATTTTCCACATACTGTACATTATTGTTTCTCCTCTATGCCCCGCCTTTCTGAAACGCGTCGATTTTTACAAAGCTCATCGGTCTGAAAAGCAAGGTGTGCTCTGATTGGCCAGCTATCCAGTGCATTGTGATTGGCCGAATACCTCAAGCGTGTGACGGAAATGTTAAGCCTCTTACAGGTTCAGGAAACTTTCCTCTGTAAAATGCGCTGCACACACTCGAATATTTGGGTTGAACTGTTCTGGAACAGTGTTGTAAATGAAACTTAACCACTGATTTCTAGTTGTGTCGACCTTTGGAAGGCCAAAGAAAGTAGTTTGGCTTTCGCAACGAAACACACAGCGTCTCCACGACGGCGGAAGCAAACAATACTACAGAGCGAATCAAAGTTACACCTTCTTTCTTTGCGAATACATTTGGATGGTGTAATGCAAATCTTCCCACACAGTGACGTAGATATGTGGGGGCATGTTTGAACGAGGCATTTTAGGAAGGAGTGGCTGAGCGTTCACTTTTATAAAGAATGTCTCTTTGGGTTTGAGACTTTAATCTTTGCGACTTTACGGATCTTCTTTATGCACATACAGCTTTTAACACTCCAAAGACAAAGGAAAACATAAAATCGCATATGACCCCTTCAATGTTTAAGCAGTCATAGGTCTTACTCATTTTAATTTCTCATTTTGTGTGGTTTATTCAGGATGAAGAAGAGGACTCTCCACTGGATTCATCGAGACCCGATCGAGCTGTGATGGTCCATCCTGTGGCAGAGAGACTGGACACGATGATGACTGTCCTGCTGGCTTATATTGAGGACATTTGCCATGTCAATGGTCAGGACATTACCATTTTATGAACCATAGAAGTTGTTTTTTTAGGGCTGTCGGTCCATTCAAATGTTTAATCACAATTCGTTTAGCACATTCAGTCATTTTATAGGAAAAGAATCAAATATACTACCGTTCTAAAGTTTGGGGTCAGTAAGATTTTTAAAAAAATTTTTTTTAAGAACTTAATCCTTTTTTTCAGCAAGGATGCATTAAATACATTCAGTCTCAAATGAATGCTGTTGTTTTAGAACTTTCTGTTCATTAAAGAATCCTGAAAAATAAATCACAGTTTGCATAAACATATTAAGCAGCACAGCAGATGTATTTAACATTGATAGTAATAAGAAATATTTCTTGATCACCAAGTCAGCATATTAGAATGATTTCTGAAGGATCATGTGACACTGAAGACTGGAGTAATGATGCTGAAAATTCAGCTTTGCATCACAGGGATCAATTACATAGAAAACAGTTATTTTAAACTAATATTTCACGATTTTACCATTTTTACTGTATATTTCAGCAAACAAATGCAGCCTTGGTGAGCATAAAACACTTTCAAGAACATCTAAAGATCTTACCAACCCCAAACCTTTGAACAGCAGTCTAAGTGTAATTTTTGTGTTGTGACATGGCAGCATGTTTATACCTTCATGTAAAGAAGTGCATGAAAATGCACAGGCATTGTCTTTATGCACCAAGAGCTTGTAACACTCCAAAGAGAAAGGAAAAATTGAAATCGCATCTTATGACCCCTTTAAACATTTCATAAATAACATTCATATGTGCATTTATAATTTAACTTTGTATCTATCTGAATTAAAAAAAAATAATAATATTTTTGTTTCAATCTCATTAGGCTCATTAGATATTGAGAAAACCAAAGCTCTGTACAGAGACCTGCTGTCTGTGTTTGATAAGGTGGTGCTTCCCACTCACGCTTCCTGTCACGTGCAGTACTACATGTTCTACCTGTGCAGCTTCCGCCTGGTGAGTTCCCACTACTCTGTTATTCTCAAACAAACAAACAAAATCATAACTTTTCTCTGTTTTTTTTTTTTTCAGGGTTTGGCTGAAGCTTTTTTGGATCACTTATGGAAGATGTTACAAGCCCCCAACCAGCCCCCCGTCCTGAGACAGGCTGCTGCTGGATACATGGGCAGCTTCATGGCAAGAGCCAAGTTTTTGCCAGTATCGTACGTGACCTTATCATGCAGTTTTATCTTATCTAATGCAGTGGAGTTCAATATTTAATCATCTTTCTTGGCAGTGGTTTGTTACCTTGATTAAGTCATTAAACATTAATGCCTCTTTGTTGTTATCTGGAAAAGAAAAGGGTTTGATTGGACACAGGTACCTATATTTGTCAAAACATCATTTGAAATCATGTCAAAACTGGTTCTGTAGAGTTTCCTCTCTTCCACAGGACAGTCAAGGCCTGTCTGGACCTGTTGGTTCCCTGGTTGCACCTTTATATTAACAGTCAGGACTCGGGATCCAAAGCATTCTGTGACGTCAATCTGCACGGCCCATTTTATACAGCCTGCCAGGCTGTGTTTTACACGCTCATCTTCAGACACAATGCCATTCTGGAGGGCAATATGAAGAAAGGTCAGTACGTGTGGAATTTACCTGTTTATACATGAAGCACAAGCGTGAAAATCATTTGAGTTGTTAAAACGTTTTTTTTCAGTTGTTGTAAGTTGTATAGTCAACTATACAACTTATAAGTTGTCAAGTACACAATTTCTTTTGCCCTGGTCTGTTAATCATGCAAACAATGACCTGAATTCACCACTTCTAGAATGTGTTTATTTGTATTTTATTTCTAAATTTCAATTTCATTTTTTTATTTTGGGGGTCATAAATTCAAAAATATTGCAGTGATCTATTCTGATAACATAATCAAGAAAAAAGCCTTGTCAAAAGAACAAAGTGCTTTAAAAGAAAACCTTTAGTTTGACATGTTTTATAAATATTTCTTAGAAAAATTATTTTAACAATAATGCTTCATTGCTTGTTAATATTTGAAAAACGTTTGTCTTCCAAATCAAAGTCATGTGATTTGACTTCAACAAACATGCATAAAAAAAGAATAAAAAAAGAATAATTTCATACTTTTTACAGCAAGACAAGGTCAGTTCAGGGTGTAAACCTTGTGCGACTCCCCAAAACATTTTTTTATTATATTAAAATGAATACTAACACTTTATTATAGTGTCCTTGTTACACGTTACATATACTTATAGTAATTACAGTAAATTATGCATAATTACATGCAACTAACTCTAAACCAAACCCTAATCATAACCTTAAAGCTATAGTACTAATATCACTCAGTACTTAAATGTACAATTAAACTGTAACAAGGACACCTTAAATGAATAATTCATGATGAATAAATAAAATGCATGTTAATTTTGAGTGTCATAAAACTATAACATTTTTGAACTTGACAAATGTGTTTTAAACTAGACTTTTCGTTTGACCCTTCTGCAGGGTTGGCGTACCTTCAAGGTTTGAATCTCGAGCGTATAGTGATGTGCCAGCTCAACCCGCTGAGGGTCTGTCTACCTGCTGTCACCAACATGTTTGCAGCCATCACCAGGTACAGCACAAGAGAGAGCCATCATCAGATTACAAAAACTTCACGAAATAAAAGCATGATAAATGAGGGCAATTTCACCCATCTGTTGGCAGGAAGTACCAGCTCGTGTTCTGTTACACCATCATTGAGCGGAACAACCGGAACTTGTTGCCAGTGGTGAGCTGTTCAACGGGCGGCAGCTCAGTGTCCACTAACACAAACCCTCTGGATACCTTCTTCCCTTTTGATCCGTATCTCCTGAAAAGGTAAAAAAGTCATGCTCATTCCTGTTAAACTCAGCCTTGGAAATACTAGTTCACTAAAAATAATTTATGTATTCTTTTTTACAACAGCTCTGGAAAACTCATTGAGCCAATCTACCAGGCGTGGGAGGAGCCATCCGATTGTATGATAGATGTGCCCAAGAAGGAAGTGAGAAAGGTGATGCACATTCTCAGTGGCCAGAGGGTTTAGAGATTTCAGAGTTTTTGCCTGCCCATTCAGGCAATTTTAAGTGTCCATATATATATTTTTGAAGCCACTGTAAGAAAACTGAAACATTGTAATTGATGGGATTTTTTTGACTCATCTCAGTAGTTTAGTCTCTTCAGAGAATATCCAATATCACTTTGATATTGTTCCACAGGGGTCTATGGAGGAAGAAGATGACTTTCTGCACGGAGACTCAGTAGCAGGCATGACTCCGGGTTCTTATGACTCTCATCTGCACAGTCCACGGAGCGTTGGCTCTCCCCCTGTCTCCTTCCTGCAGCGGCCTTTCTGATCCACTGTTGTAGCAATCAGCTGGTCACAGATGGGCTGTTCAGCCCAATATCACACCAGGAGGGGGCGCTCAGGGACTGCTTGTGATGGCACAAATTTGACTGGAGCCCTTCACACAGCAGCATTACTGACCCCAGTGTTTGGCAGTAGTTTTACTAAACCCTCTACTTCACTTTAAGACTGCATCATAAAATACAAATGTGTTTATTGAACATTTGTGCTATATTAATAGTAAAATGATAGAAACATTGGTGGTTTATCAAGTAGACAGTCAGATGTATTTTCTGTTTTCAGGAGAAACTGTCAGCACAGATGTGGCAGTTGTAATGAAATTCTCAGTGTGTTCTCACTTTGAGTAAATGTAAGATTTTCAGTTTATTCTGAAATGATTTGAGAGGTTAGAATTGCCTGGTGGTGTGTTGAAATGGTAAATGGGTGTCACTTCCCATGATACGAGTTTGAGCTCTGACTAAACCAGTGTGTTTGCACAAAATATTCTGTAGGAAATTGACATACAGAGAATACCTTCATTTAAATATGGTTTTCTATGTTACTTGTTGAAATTTTAACTGTTGTCGTCATAGCCTCCTCAGTGAATTGTACTTTTGTGTACAGTTTTGAATTCAACTTGAAATTAATTAACATTAAATAATAAAATGGTCTAGCTGTTTTATTAAAATGTGGAAAATATAATCTAATTGTTGACTTTTTTTAAGAGACATATTACTCTTAAAATGTTTCTTTTCTTCCACCAGAAATGTAACATTTTAATTATAATTAGAGTAATAATTATAAAATGTTGAATTATTGCAGATTAACAAAATGGTCCTTGCCTTAATTTTCTCATGTGTGTGCTTATTAGTAAATAAGTGATATATATTCAAATAAAAAAAAAGTTATTTTAAATTGTAATGATATTTCACAGTATTACTGTTCTCACTGTATTTTTGATCACCAAAAGCTTTGGTGAGCATTAGAGACCAAAATAAAAGACATTTTAAAAACAATTAAAAAAACTTACTGATCCCAAACTTTTAAATTGTATATATATATATATATATATATATGCTAACAAAGTGATTAACCTATGACTATGCATGTTACCATAAAAAGGTTACTGTAAGGTCAAATTCACTGATGTATTTTTAATAGAAACTGTACAGATGTGTGTAGTCTTATCTAAGAAAAAAAAATAAAAGACCCACACAAGCTGTTGCAGATTGCACAAGCATTAAAATTGTCAGCATGCAGCCCTTGGTAGCCAAATAATTTTTTTAATATTGTACGATGAGCCAGCTTTGGCTCAGCAAATGTCGACTGGCACGCGTATACACTACTATTCCTGCAGACACGTAAGCATGAGCGTTCTGTCTGTTGACCGCAGTGGATTTGAAAATAACAGACAAATCCTCGTATTTTTAAAGTCTATTGTACTGAAGTCCACTGCATATAATACAAAAACACCACATTTCTTCAGACTTTAATAAAAACATTAAAAGAAGGATATTTAGGCCACACATATGATGCAATCTAGTTGAATCACAGGACTACATGTCAGCATTTGTAGAGCATGTGCTGTTATTAATATCAACAGACCATCTGCATAACCGTACACCTCTATCCACAGGAAATGAATGGTACCAGTTTATTACACATTGATATAAGTGACTAGATCCTATATGGCAAGACAAAACAGCCGAATACAGTGTGCTTATGAAAACAGTAACCCGATCCATGTGCATTGTTCAGCTGAATGGATGCATTCAGGGTGGAACACTGCAATATGACTCCCATTACTTGATACCAGTGCCATGACGAGCAAACCCACCCCCCCCGAACAGAATCATAGTCCCGAGGACCCAGAGATGGAGCAAAGTTACCGTCCATCAGCCGAAACAAACCATGAAGGATCCCCCCAAAGCACTTAACAGACCATACCTGATCGTAATGGGTGGGTGACCCAGCGTAGACTGACATGATCGGCAGACATGAAGAGGAAATCAAGGGGACTGACGGCAAGATTTACAAGGTTTATGACGGCAACCGCACACATACTTAGAAGCGAGCGTGTCTATGTGTCTCTGAATAATAAAAGATTCGGACTGAAAATATAAAATCTTCAAAACGTCATAGCACTTCTCAGAACAGATACAAATAAGCATCATATCAAATGATGAAGAGTGGGGACTGTCCCGAAGATCCCTAAGTGAAATCTAATACGTGTACTGTATAATATACCTAACTCTAATAGAGAGGTCAGCTGCACAGTCACATGTGTTTTCATTACAGTTGTTGAAATGGGGAAATATACCATCTGAATGAGAACTGTGTGTGGTAACTGCTTCATCTGCTATAAGTGTTACGCACGGCACATGCTGACACAGTTGAAGTCACATTTGAGCATTTCAAAGTCACCACTGCTGTTAATGGTGCCATTTGTGTTTCGGATTTCAATTCCCTTTGTTGGTTTCTGCCTTTATGTTATGACACTGAGTTCTGCTACATGTTAAATATGTACACGGACAGCTTTAAAAAATGAGTATGAGTTTGATCAGTAGAGCTCAGGCCTCTGGTAGCCACTTGAAAGAGTACAAACCACACTGCAAATCTTCACAGTCTCTTATGTTCCACAGTATAGGTGCAGTTCGACCTTGATGTTCTGAATGAGCCCGGTTTGTCTGTCTATCCCAGATTCTCTACTGACCTCGCCGCTCTACTGCAGCCCCGAGGACAGGAGGTTGTGGCCATTGAGTGAGGCTACGGGGAAAAAAAGAGCATTATGTAAGTCTATAATCTTCTAATGTAAATATGAAGAATCTCATTATCATGTTTATGATTGTGTTTCATTCTGAAGTGATATGCATTTGCCATATTCTCTTAAGAGTATGCACTTTTCACAGGGAAAGCTTCAGAAGTTAAAAGGGGTACAAAATATAACTGTCATTTGGAGTCAATGTTACAATCACACAATGGCTGACACTACTGGACATTCGTTGTACCTTTACACATGATTTTTAATTGATAACCTCTTTTATAATGTAAACTTTTTTTTTGTAACTGTTAGACTTTAAGAACAGTTAAAGTTGAATTAAGAAAATTAAGAAAACCTTTACATTTCTTTGAAGAAATAATACATTACTTCAATTTAATATATTATTTTAATACTATTCATTAAACACACATATGTATACGTATGTATAAATACACAACGTTTACTGAAGAAAGCTGCAATATAACAAAGAGTGAAAAATTTAAGGGGGTCTGAATACTTTCCGTACCCACTGTATATATATATATATAAAATATATACAGTTTAATGAAGATAAAGAAAATATGCTTAATACATTCAATTAGTATTTTAATAATAACAATGAATGAATGAATAAATACATACCAGAAAACAAATGTATAGAGCATATCCAATAATTAAAGAAATGATATAACAATATTCCAGTTAAAATTTCAGAATGATAATTAAAGACTAATAAAACTAATAAAACCCATTTTGTTTCAAAGGATCTTCTGAAATGCACCCTTGAGCACTTTGGTTACGATTGACCCTATGACAAGGCTGCCCTGACTGTTCTCATTTCAAAATAGCATGATTAATACCATTTCAAACTCTAAATGACTAAAATACGAGCCACGTGACACCTGCTTTGGTGTTTTCAAAACTCCTTGTCAAACTGGATAACTAAGAGACTTTGCAAGGCCAGCGGTTATAGTGAAGGGTTTTGTGACAGTGAAATGAACATTTGGCCTAAGCTAAACTCAGCTGACAGCAGCAGTTGAAGGGAGAAATGCTGATTGCTTCATAACACAATAAAAACGGCCACTCACTCTGAATCACAGTCCTCTTCAGCCTTCACAATGCTTCCCTCTACGTACTGCAGTAATTCTGCGAAATAACCAAACAGTTAGTGAATAATAATAATATCACAGATTCGAAAACACAAGTTCAAATGAGTTAATTACAACAAAATGTCCAGAAATTGTCTTAATGTCCCAGTTTATGTACGTCACACTCCACTCAAACAGACTGATGTGGTTTCAAACGATCAGACTCAAGGAGAGAGGCTTTAAGCAGCCACTCAATTAGTCGCCCAGAGCTGTTGACACATTTGCACATTTCTCACTTACTGTGATCCTCAGTGCAAAGTGAGCAGACACCATCTACGAGCTCTTTGGCCTCAGCTGCAAGCTGGCAGGCAGGGTCTGGGATCGGGGAGGGTGTGTCGGGGCTGTCAGTCGCTGGAGACGCTTGTGCGCACCTGTAGGATGAGGAAGGTAAGTCATGATCTCAGACACAGTGAGACACTACAACTTTCAGTGTTTGTCTTGAGAAACTTACCCACTTTCAATCCCAAATAAGCTGGCATTGGTGAGAACTTTGTGGACATTCTGTAAAAACAGAGTGCAAATTTTAAACTTGGATTTTTTGTGTGTTTTGGAAGCACCACTGATATCTAGATACAACAGTGTACTTTAAAAGGAACTTTAAAACCAAAAATATTCTGTCATCATTTACTCACCCTCATGTCATTCCAAAACCATGTGACTTTCTTTCTTCTGCTAAACATAAAAGAAGATATTCTGAGGGAAATTGTGCAGTTGATGGTAGCCATTGTCTTCTATAGTATGGAAAAAAAATACTGGAAGTCAATGGCTACCATTAACTGTTTGGTTCCCAAAATTCTCTTTTGTGTTCAACAAAGAAACTCATACAGGTTTGGAATGACATGAGGGTGAGTAGATGATGACAGAATTAGCATTTTTGGGTGAACTATCCCTTTAAGTAAAAAAAATGTGGTTTGTGTTTACCTGTGCAAAGCCAAGCAGCTTCTTGTTGGATATCTCCAGGTGTTTCCGTGTGAGTTCAGACCTTCTCAGCTGGCTGTCAATGATGGCGAGCCTCCTGTTCAGTTCCATCACATTCTCCTGTGAAGAAAATGGGCTGTAAAACCTTTACTAAAACTTAAACTATTAAAAAAAATTTTGTTAATTGAAATAAAGCTGAAATATAAATATTTGATGAAAAGCACAAAACAAAACTAGAAATGTTGCCATGGCAACTAACAGAAATAAAACAAGTAATACAATTATTCAAACTAAAAAGTGAAACAAAAATATATATAGATATATATATAGA